TCCATCCATCCATCCATCCATCCATCCATCCATCCATCCATCCATCCATCCATCCATCAGTCTGTGCTACTGTTTTTTTCAACTAATTCATTTGTTCATTCATTTGTTTTTTTCCCTTCCTTCCTTCCTTCCTTCCTTCCTTCATCCATTCTATTGTTTGTTCAAATCCTGATTAAATGATTAGTTTCTTGTTCTTTTAAGTTTTAATAATTTTGTTTTCAGCTGAACCCCTTCTCAGTGGGAGAACAGTATTCCTAGAAAAGGTTATTCTCATTTACACCTACTTGCAAGAACGTTGTCATACGAAAATAGAACATTAGTTATTTAGTGGGAAGAAGATCACTGAAGCTGAACTTTTTCTTTTGTCTTTTAATGTATTCCTTTCTCACTAAATTACTAGTGTTCTATTCTTGTATGACAACCTTCTTGCAAGTAGGTGTATATTCTAGAAAATTTAAAATAAATAAAGAAAAAAAACATCCTTCAATAATTGCTGAAAATGCCATAGATTTGCCCCAAGTTAACCTCTTTTGTTGGGGCAAAGCGATAATTCTTCAAGTGTAGCAAGTAATAATACTACAAAGTTGCAAGAGGTCAAGGTCGCTTGCCAGTTAAGATACACAAAGGGCGGCAGACTTTGTGAAGTCTAAAAATGTTATTGGCCTGGTTTTTATTGTTTTTAGATGACAATTGTTCTGATTTCTTCTCTTGTATAGGGAGGAAGGAGAGCCAAGCTTGTTGCAGCTGATGGAAATGAGATTGATTCATTGTTCATGGACAAAAGAAAGCATGATGAAGATAATAATGGGAATACTTTGGTAAGTCATTGCTTTACTTTTGGATCAAGAGACAGAGCAATCAATTTTGATTCCTTAATTTTTTGTTTCTTTATTCCTTTATTCGTTTACTTTTTTCATTGTTTTCTTTCTTCTTATTGTTTGTTTGTGACTCATTTTTTGTTTGTTTGTTGTTTTTTTACGGTGCTTTTCAATGTTCTTATTGTTCGATTGTGACTCATTTTTTGATTGTCTTACTTGTACATTGCTTTCCAATCACATGGGGAAAAAATTGTACAATTTGCTGTCACAAAAAAGTTGACTTTGGTTGATAATAGTCAAGGTGTTTTCACAACTTTTCATATATATATATATATATATAGGCATGTGCTCTTGAAAACTTTGTATTTTCTGACAATGTCATAAAAACACTTAATAATAATAATAATAATAATAATAATTACATGTTTTACCAGGGTAAGCTCGTCAGCAAACAGCTGTTATCAAGGAGCGCCCTTTGATTGATGTGCACCAAAAACGTATTTTCTCAAGACATAAAATTGTACCATTTTGCACCTGTGATTTCACTATTAATTTTTTTTTTAATTAATGAGTTTTTATTTCTTCTTTTAGGTCATTGCTTGTGAAGGGAATGCTGGATTTTATGAACTTGGTCTCATTTCAACACCTTTGAAAGGTAATATTGTTGAATTTGATGATTTTTTAGTCAAGACGTGAGTAAATTATTTTGAAATCATATGTAAAACAAAACAAAACAAAGAAAAATTATGAATTATTCCTCTTTTTCATTCAGTAAATACCACTGTGATCCATGGACTGTCAGTGTTTATGTTTTGAAAAGCCATCAAAACTTGTTCAATTATTTATGAAATGATATTTAAAACCAACAAACAAATTATTCCTCTTTTTTATACCAATACCACACTGTAATCTACAACATTGGACAATGTTAATGTTTTTTTATTAAATAACTGTTATAAATCTCACATTCTGATTGGTTGGGAGTGAATGCTTTATGAGAGCACACAACACGCACGCGCCCTTTGCATTTTATAAAAGATTTTTAAAACTTGCTTGCTGTGCTGTGTGGAAATATAAAGCACTTGCTGATCGGCAAAACACTCAAGAAGTGTGGAGAAGCACTCCGCTACACTCTCTTGTTCTGCCGATCCCCGCTTGCTTTATAACTGCACACAGCACACGCACATGTTTCTATTTCATCAGAATCGCATTATAAATTTCACTTTTTTTCAGCTGGGTATTCTGTTCTTGGTTGGAACCACCCAGGCTTTGCTGGGAGCACGGTAGGTAAATAGATCATAAATGATGATAAAGGAGTGAATTGAGGCACAGGTGAAGTGCACATCTAATACACAGCCTTTCATCACTGTCAAAGGTTCAGTTTAGAAGGAAAGAAAACGATGCACAACTTCAACACTACAAACACTTTGAAATCCCACAGACATTCACAGAAAAACATCATTAAATCTACTATAAAAAATTGAAGCTAACCCTGAGCAACAGAGAAAATGAAACTGGAGTATTCACTGTCAAAATGTGGTGATGACAAAACACTGGATTTTTGAATTTAAATTCACTTGTGTATTTTATTGATTTAAGTACTGTTTAATAAACTCGCAGGGGTGTTTTATCAGGATTTAAAAACATGAGGCATAGCCAAGTGTTTTTAGACCTGATAAAACATTATCTGCGAGTTTATTGAACGGCTTCAAAACCTGATGATGTATATTCTTATATTGTTTGAATTCTTTACGAAATGAACCAATTTTGATAGAGAAAATCCAAGTTAAAGTTTATGCAAATGAAGAGTCTATTTCAGATGTAAAATCACCTTCATGGTCATGATTTCTATTGTGTTTCCTTCATGAATTATTATTGAGTTTTTGAATTTTGTTCATTACTTGTTTTAGGGCCTACCATTCCCAGAAGCAGAGAAGAATGCAATGGATGTCGTAATACAGTATGCCATCAATGAACTTGGTTTCAAGCAAGAGAATATAGTACTGTATGCCTGGTCAATAGGTTAGTATTGCCCTATTCCACTATGACGTCACTGCTTGTTTATGTGGGGAATAGAATCGCCAAATCCAATAGAAAATTCAGCAAAATTTGCTCTTAGCGAAACAGTTTAATCTAAAATGGCCTGGTTTTTAGATATAATATTTGTGATATGTGCTAAAAAATATTTTGAGCGTTTGCTGGCTATTCTACTTCTCTTTGTGGATTGATACGGGTTTTAGAACAATTTTCGGTGAATTTGCGTTGATTTGACCCCGTCCGACGACCATGATTCTTTGCGTTTAAACAATAGATTGTTTTTATGTGATGTCATAGTGAAATAGGGCAATTAATTAATTTCATGGAGTGACTGTTACCTAGAAAGGCATCACATAGCAGCCTTTTTTGGTATTACAATTTGAAGGTTTTTCTGAAGTAGGTATAGACATTCTAAAACACACAATGGACCATATCCACTTGGGGTAAAGTCTTTCCATTTCAGGCCATGTGTCATTCTCTTGAGAATAAGATTCTTTTTTTAAAAAAGTTGTATCCATATTCATGTGACTTCTCATGCACAACTGTCAAAAATGACAGAGTCTAAAATTGGTAAACATTACTTCCAAGTGAATTTCTTACATGTGGCTTCCTCATACCCTCTTTCCCTTAGAAATTCCCTTGTCCCTTTTAAGTAAGGGTGGGGAGGGTAGGTGTATGGATATTTTTTTACATTCTTGTAACATTTTGTGCTGGTACTTTTTCCAGGTGGGTATGTAGCGGCATGGGCTGGCATGACCTATCCCAACATAGGAGGCATGGTAAGGATTTTTATGGATAGAATGGGTTTTCTATGCTCCTAAGGCATCATCCTCTCACCAATTCAAGACTTTGTTACAAGGGGTCTGTTGATCAAGCCCCATGTGTGGTACCTAGTGTGAGTTGAGTCTGCTCAATGGGTTCTTCTCTATGAGGTTTTTTTGCTGTGTCCTCCAGGGTTTTCGTACCTCCTTAAAAATGAACAATTTTAAATACCAATTCGATATCAGAATCATATTTTATTTATTTTTTTATAAATTATAAGATATCGGAATCAGTGCCATATATTAAATAACTCTATTGTTTTATCTTTTCCCACAGGTTCTTGATGCTACTTTTGATGATATCGTCCCCTTGGCACAAAGTAAAATGCCAGAAGCTCTATGTAAGTCAGAATGAATGAACAGCTTAATTGTTGAATTGACAAGTGAATAGATGAATGAATGAATGAATGTTTTAGATAGATGGATGGATGGATGAATCGATAGATGGATAGAGGATGGATAGAGGGTAAATAAAAGAATGGTACATGGATGTAGAAATGGAAGATGAATATATAAATGAACAAATGGATAGATAATTAAATGAATGAGTGAATAATTGAATAAATAGGTGGGTGAAAGTAGGAAAAAAGGAAAGAAGGAACGAATGAACGAAAGAACGAAAGAAAGAAATAATTGACTCTATCCAGCGAGAATAAAAAGTTCATTGTCATCATCATCACCATCAGCAGCAGCAGCATCATCAGCATCATCATTATCATCATCATCATCATCATTATCATCAACATCATCATCATTATCATCATCGTCATCATCATCATCATTAGCAGCATTATGAACAATTTGAATATCATAATATATAATTTATGTTTTTTTTCTTTCCATGTTCCAGGTGGCTTCGTAACCAATGTCATCAAGGAATATTTTCATCTTGAAAACGGCAAGTATGCCAGTAGGTAAGTACAGGTTTATTCGTGTGAGTAGAGTTGTTTGTTGGTTCTCTCCTGTGCTTCAGAAAGCACGGGTGGCGTGCGCTGCTAATGCGTCGCCTCTCACCAATGTGGCCCGAATTCGAGTCCTGCCGACCTGAATGTTGTATGTGAGTAGAGTTGTTTGTTGGTTCTCTCCTGTGCTTCGAGGGTTTTTCCTTCCGGGTTCTCCGTATTTTCCTCCCTCCACAAAAATAAACTTCTAAATTCTAATTCGATCTATCAGCTGCCTTATCAATTGGGTTGCAAAACCTATTAGGCATCAAGCCTTCCACCCTGGAGTGGTAGATGCATACCACCACTTTATGAAAAGAGCTACATATTCACTTTAGGGGTTCCCACTGACCTGCAAAAGTCATAGATTTAAATCTATAAATTTTCCTGACGTACCATTGTTGTTGTTTTTTAATTTTCCAGGTATCCTGGTCCACTGTTGATCATCAGGAGAATGAGAGATGAAATCATTGCATTAGAGTAAGCACTTGCAATCAGTATCATGATACTCCTATACAAGAGAGTCGCCAATATAAAACGGTATTGTCGGCTCAGAATTGCCTTGCCGCGATGCAAGACTTAGGCTGCGTTCATAATGTATAGCAGGGGGGCAGGTGAACAGGTGAAAATTTGAAATGTCCAGAATAATTCTTAAC